TCGACTCTCAGAGGTTCGGCTAGCCCAGCGGTGAACATATCCACCTGCTGGTCTGGGCGCACCGAAGAGGCTCTAGTGAGAAGAGTCTGAAATTGTCGTTGGTACTCGGCTATAGTCCCGGTCTGCTTGAGGTTAATCAACTCTCCCAATGGATTGCTTGTTAATGGAGGTCCGAACCATAGGAGGCAGTAGGACTTGAACCGATCCCAACTGAGACCTGGTTCCTCCTGCTCTACCCGGTAGAACCAGAGCTGTGCTTCGTCTGTCATATGGAATGCGGCCAGGCTGACTTAATCTTTCTCCTCCGTGCGCTGATTCCGGAAAAATTGCTCGCAGTGGTACAGCCATCCCAGTGGGTCGCCGCTGCTGCTGTATGAGGGAAACTCCAGTCGACTGTACTTGGGTATGACCGGTGCTGTTGGGGCGGCGATCGGTCGTTCGCCGGATTCCTCCGCCAATTCTGGGCGGCGGCTGTTGCTGGTGGTTGCCCCTTCAGGGCTCTTCTCCCTGGTGGAGAAGTATAACTCGAGTAGGCAACGAAGCTCCCTGACATCTTCCTTGACTTCTCTTACTTCCGCGTGGTTCTCCACGAGTCGGTGTTCCAAATCGTGGACCCTGGAGGACAGCTGCTCTATGTCGCTCATGACGTTTGGCTCTGATACCAAAATGTTATGGGCCCTAGCGTAGGATCTTGTCACGTGTCGGTCCACGGGGAGAACTCCTAGCTTCCCCTTGCCCCTCCCTTTGCGCGCAGACCCTATGGTGGCGAACTAAGGGTGATTTGTTCAAGAGATCACCCTAACTCTCCTAGTCTTTCTTGACTGAAAACTGAATGCCTTATTCTCAATTTGCAGCTCCTTAAATAGGAGATTACAAGAGGTGTGGGAAGACTCCCAGTAGAATTCGAATACTCACAGATAAGGATAATTCACACTTTTAGGATCAACAGACTCTTGCTTCTAATAGGTAAATCAAACTCTAGAAGATAAGGAAAACTACTAAGAATAAGATAAGATGAGCCAAGATAAGCTGCCGCCGCTGTGGGCCCCTTCTCACTGCTTCTGTCAGCGGCTGTACGTCCTCCCTATGAACGCATCCGCAACACTCTTCACATTGCATCTAATCCTGTTTTTCATGAACAAACTAAGCATATCGAGATTGATTGCCATTTCGTTCGTGAAAAGATTCCGCAAGGTTTGATTTCCACAAGTTATGTGAAAACAGGAGAACAACTGGGAGATATCTTCACGAAGGCTCTTAATGGGGTCCGGGTTGATTATCTTTGTAACAAGCTAGGCATGATTAATATCTATGCTCCAGCTTGAGGGGGAGTGTTACAGAATAGGAAGTAAATACTAGGGAGATATGATTTACCTTGATTATAGGACTGATTTGTAGGAGATATGATTTACCTTGATTATAGGACTGATTTGTAGGAGATATGATTTACCTTGATTGTAGGACTGRTTTGTAGGAATTTAATTAGTCTTCTTTCCTAACATAGAATTTGTAACTTGTATATATACATACGAGATTGATGAATACATATAACAAATTCTTCTTCTTCCTCTGTTTACTCTTGTTTTACACAGGCTTTCAGCAATCAGCATCAGGTATTTGTTTTACTCTTTTTACACTGAAAACAGGGGTTCTGCTCGCCCCCTTCTTCTTCTTTTCTTCTTCTTCTCCTTCTCCTTCTTCTTCTCCTCCTTCTTCTTCAGTTCTTCTTCTTGTTCACAGAAAAACAAATATTTTTACAGTAAAACAGGGGCTTCACCCCCTTCTTCTTCTTCTTCTGAAATATTTTTACAGTAAAACAGGGGCTCCCCCCCCTTCTTCTTCCTCTTCCTAAGAAGAAGAAGAAGAAGAAGAAGAAGAAAACAGGGGCTCCGCCCTCTTCTTCTTCTTCTTCTTCTTCTTCTTCTTTCCTTGTCTGTTTCACACTAAAACAGGGGCTCCGACAATATTTTTTTTTATCAGCAGAAAATATTAGTTTGAAAACAGTAAAACAGGGCCCGACCCCTTTCTTTTTTTTATTTTTATTTTTAGTTTTTTCTTTGCTTCTGCTTCCCCCACTTTCTTCTTCTCTTGTCAGGGGCTCCGCCCCACTGTTCCACAATATTTTTTTATCAAGAGCAAATACTAGTTTGAAAACAGTAAAACAGGGCTCGACCCTTTCTATTTTTTTTTTTTAATTTTGTGCGCCTTTTTAAAAAGGCGCGTGCCTCGCCTTGCGCCTTAGGCGCATTTGGAACCTGTCGCTTTTTGTGCGCCTTTCGCTTTTAAAACACCGACTCTCCATATCTTGTAATATTTTAAATATTTCTAATGAAATTCTGTTATTGATAAAAAAAAAGAAAGAGACACATGAATTTTTGGGGACAAGGAAAGGAGTAATGAGACTTTGACAGAAATCATAACCATAAGAGTGGCACATTGGGTCAAGACCTTGAAACTCTTCTCAGACTTCAAGGTAGAAGATTTCTTAAGATCTTGGGGAGCATTGGTTGGTTCATCCTCTAGAAGAAAGAGAATTTTTGGTCTGGTCAACCCTAATTAGTGGCTGGATGAAGTTGAATTTTGATGGCAGTAGTGTGGGCAATCTGGGGCCCTCAGGAATTGGAAGGATCATTAGAGGGATGAGGAAGATAATTTACATGCAATGTTTTCAGGTCCAAATGAGCAAGGAGATCTGTTAGAGCAGAGTTCTTAGCTGCATTTTGTGAGGTTGAAAAAGCCAAAGAATTGGGCAGTAGAAGTTTGATCATTGAAGGGGGACTCCAAAGTTGTGGGGTGATATGACACCTAAGGAATGATTTCAGATGCTTCAAATGGCTCTCAACAGATATGAATGTTCAAATTAATTGGGTTAGAAGATCTGCAAATAGTTTGACAGATGGCCTAGCCAAGCAAAAGACAGATTATGTACTGGGCACAGTCATAATATTTCGAGGTGGTTTTCTTGTTTTTTAGTTCTTTGTTTTTTCTTTTCACAACTTGTTGTATCTCCCTCCTTTGTAATGAATTGATCTTCTCTGTGTTGCTGGTAGAAAAAGCCCTGAAGACCCCTGATTTCCCAATGAGCAGGCACATCATTTAGCATCATGACACAAGTGGTCGTGATGTTGCAGTCAATCAAAAACCAATTCTTAATGACTGAATACATTGAGACACCTTTGGACTCATCCATTGTCAAAATCTGATGATTCTGATGACGATAAAAATAATCTATAACCATCTGAACTGAGTAGGAATTGTCCTTAAAAAATCTTGGAGTTCTTTTCCACTAAAATATCTGACAACAAAGCAGCAATCATGCATGTTCACATCATCTCCTCCCCGGTTTCTGAAAGGAAAGGGATCCCAACTCCAAAGCAGATTTATCTTATCATAAAGATATGCTCGGTAGAGATGGACAGGGCCAAAGAAGTGAATGCAAATCAAAGAAGTAAAATGACAATAGATAGACAGGTCATTCTAGATTCCATATTTTCTAGGTACACAGGTGCCAAGAACGTGAAGAGATAAAACTCTGAATACATTTCTAATGAAGCATATCAGTATCTGGCAGGTTTTGAACTTTTTATTTTCCACCTACCAATTTAATTTAAAGTTTTTCTTTATTATTTGTATTATTTTTATTTTAAATGCGAGTGGCTCCTTGTGCAACATGCAGATGAGACACTCATTACTAATGCAAAAGACATTGAAAAAAATGATAAACAAGAAAAGGAACCATGAGTATCAATAATCCCAATATGAATGCTGGCCATCTAGAGGGTTATAAAAACTCCTTTTAAGGGAGTTATGTTGTGACACTCATAAACTTTTGAGTTCTGGCAACCAAAGTTCAAGAGATACCAGGTTGATACTTCAAGACATAGGTGGAGATCAGAAATTTTTGGATTGGGATGTTGTATATAACTTAAAGAACCATTTGTTCTTTTTTCTGTTTTTTTGGATGTGTCATGTCTATATTCTACACACTTGCACATGTTTTGAGGGGAACTCTCACTTTGCATCACTAGTCACTACAATATATTTAACCTATAAAATAAAAGAACAATCAGCTAAGGGGCATATCCCCAACCAGAGCTCCTTCCAAAAATCTTACTCTATTTTTTAATAATGTATCCTACCTGATGTACAGGACAAATTTCATATGGATTTCATTAATCAAATTCAAAATATAAAATATAGGCTCCATTTGTTTGCAATACAAACGCTGAACCGGGGTATTTATGTACTGCGGTTCGCGTTTGTTTGACATGTAAAAAAGTAATGATTATCAGATAAAAAATGTATTTTCTGACATTTTTGTACTCTGAAAAGAGAGCACTGCTGTACCTATTTTTTGGATACAATTTTGTATTCTTTTGATAATCAACTTTTTAACCAAAGTTAAGGCATTGGAGCATAAAGTAGTTGGAGCATTTAATGATGGGGTCCACACAGCACTGATTTCAAACAAGCAATATGAGTGCAAAAAAATCTGAACCGTGTTTGCATTCATGAACCGAAAAGAGGATAAATATGCAGCGTACATATTTGCGTTGGCATTGCAACCAAACGCAGCCATTATGATTTTATTAGTAGGGATAATGTCCCAATAATTAGAGCTTTGATTCATATTTGCTAACTCGATGTTTTTTCCATTTTACCAAATTAAATAGAAAAGGACTTGTAAAATGTCAAATGGAAAAACAGGTCAGCATCCATATTGGGACGCTATTTTTGTAAATATTCTTCTTTTTCCTTTTTTAACTTAAATCTCTTTAGGTAGGAAATATTATGGAAATATGTTCTGGTAGCAAAATTTGGTTTTAAGCTGTTTCTTTGCTTTTATGATTATGAGATCACTTCCGCCTGTAACTCAGACTGAGCATCTTATCTTCTCTTGGACAAGCATGCTGTATTTATGGTTAATTCCATGGTTTCTCTGTTACAAAGATCAGATTTTTTCATCTGTGCTCTTTTGTTTATGTATTTGTTGATTGCAGTGGTACCTTGCTTTTATATCTATTCTCAGGAAGAGGCATCATCAAGAGGTGTCAGTGCCATTTGTTCTAAATCTTCCCCACCGCCTCAGGAAAACAAATGTGATCTTGATGATCACAAAGATGAAGAAACATGGGAAGAAGAAGGTTATGAGTATGACAGAGCTTTGGATGTTGACAGGACTTACCTGAAGTTCAAGAAACGGATGGATGCTTATCCAGAGCAGTGCTTCAGGTATTGAGGTTCTAGACAACTTTTACTACCTGGGCTCTTGAATCTGCAGAAAAAATGGTAGCCCTTCTACCTTGTACTTGATACTAAAATCCGGAACGGGATCTGCTCCTCACACTTGGGCGCCTCACATGCACATCCACTGTGCATTGGGAACATCTCCCATGAATAATAACTTATAAGTATGGGAGATGTTCCCAATGCATGGTAGGATGTGCGTGTGAGGTGCATGTGAGGCGCCCTATGTGAGGAGCAGATCCGGTCTCCTAAAATCCATAGGCTACATGGTTTTGCCTACTGTACCACCATGAAGTCAAAGTTAGATAAGCGCCACCAGTAATAAATGCTTTACATTCTTGCAGGCAGTATCTTTGATAGGATATAGCCTTTTGTTTTAATCTTCTTATCTGGGTACTTGGGTACTCGTGGAATATTTTTCTCAACATCCCTTGATTTTTACTCAAGCATTTCTTTTCCTTTCTTTCTACCCCTCTTCTGATCAGGTATGTACAGGGAGGCAAACCACTTCTGGCTACAAAAGATTTAGGTGAACCAGGGACTTGCAAGCTTTGTGGTGGGTCCCGACACTATGAGTTCCAGCTAATGCCTCCATTGTTATATTTTCTACAAGAAGGCAATGATGGTCAGTTAACACATTTGCCAGATTGGAACTGGATGACACTAATTGTATACACTTGTTCCAAGGTGGGTCTACTTCTATACTACTCTCTCTTAGTATTAAACTTATGTGGTTACCCATTCATGTTTGCTTATGCTTGTTCTCTATGTGATAAAATCTATGCAAGACTTGTGCTATTAGGTTGAATATCATCACATTCACAAATAGCATACTATTAAATGTGAACAAGCAAGGGACCTATTTGACAAGCTATGATGTACCTATACAAGGGTGCCATATTATGTCAGATACTTCAAAATTTAGTGTAAGTTTCATATGTGGTACTGTACCCATCATGTCTTTTCCATATCTGGTAACATGGTTGGCAAAGCTTGTGTTAGTATCCAAAACATAGACACATCCATAGAATTAATTTTGTATATTATAAATACCTTATAAAGCATTAGTTCTTGTCAATATAGATTCTAAGAAATATACTTGGAATAAGTTGGTATGGTGCAAATTCTTTTGTTTTTTTTTTTTTGATAAATGAGTATAATTTATTAAATCTGAAATACGAGGCAATACAGTAGACCCAAGAGGAGGCACGGGTTGTTACCTCTTCTAACAAGTATTACATCAAATTAAAGCAGAATTGACCAGAATTAACCAGAACTAAAATTACAAAGCAGCCCAAAATAAATGTTTCCTTGAAGCCCCTTGCTTAGCTAACCCATCTGCTAAGGAATTTGCTGATCTTCCCACCCAAAAGAAAGGTAACAGTCATGTTTCTTGTGATCCAGTTGACTTTCCTTAAAATATCTTTATGTCGCCACATAGCTGAAGCTGGTTCTTTCAGCCATTCCACAACAATCTTAGAGTCCCCTTCAACTACCAAGTGCTGAACTCCTAGTTGTTCTGTGTTAGCGTAGGGGTATTTCTGTCTTTATACCTAGATTAATGTTGCTGATCTGTAATGTTGTGTTGGAACCAGTGCTCCTAACTTAAGTAAGGGCACATAGGTCTTTTCAGTTATTTTTAATAATATAAATACTGCCTGGCCGACTGGGAGAGGTTATGTTGAGTCTTCCAGTTCGAACCAGAATTTCTCTCCTCTCTTTCTCTCTTTCTTCCACCTTTCTCCTTCTACATAACTGATCTCAGACAGACAGAACTCTAAGGCACCGAATTATAACATGGTATCAGAACTACTTGAATCTGCCTAGATTTCTGCTTGCCTAGGTTTCAATTCTCTACGCACCCTATCTAGGGTTTTTTTCCTCTTTTTTCTGCATTCGATTGGAGATAAGGGAAAGGGCTGAAAAGGAGTGATCGCCCTCTTCCCTTGGAGGTTTCTATGCCTCCAGTCAGGTTGTATGTGGTCGGTTGCTGTGA